TCATTTTGCTTATGTTTTTGCAAGAAAACAAACTGAGATAATATCACATTTACAAGATGGGTAATGTCTACATTTCTTTTTCATCTAGTTTTACCATCAAAACTTACTCTTTAAACTTTGTCAAATCGGCAGAGAGATCCAGTTTTTTTTGGTTGAGAAACAAATACAAAAACACAGAATGTATTTTTCACTCCGATTACAAAAAAAACTACTGCTGAATCGTCTAGAATATCAATTCAAAGTTCTTTCTCTTTTTTTTCTAAAAAGGTTTATTGGCTAACAGAATCAACAAAGTTTCAGGATTTGTTCCGTCAAATAACAAACCGATTTTGACGTAACAACGATAATCCAATATTTGTTGTTTACCCTTATCGTTGTTTATCAATGCTTAATGTCACTAATAATGTCAACTTCTTATTTTCTTTTTTTTTTTTCTATATTATAATCAAAAACGTGCATATAGGTACGAAATTCAGCTGTGTTTTGATGCTCATCGTTGGCGAATTCACGTAGTTGTATTTTTGGTTTGTCTTTTTTATCAAATTTCAAGTAGGTTTTGTAGCAGCAATATAGGAAAAAAAAAGATGATTTAAGTTTTTGATAGTATTTTTAAGCTTTTGCTCGAAAACAATTCCCACTTTCACTTAAATATTTCCAAATGGAAAATAAATCTGAAAAAAAGAAAAATTTTTTTTCACTTTGTCCAGATAATTTGATAAAAGAACTTTTGCTGACTATTTGCTCTCCTTTGCTTCTATCCGACAATACATCCAATACAAATGAACTAAAAAGCTTAGCTGTGTGGTAGGGGGAAAATCACAAAAAAAGTAACTTGCATCGTCTGTAGAAACGCACAACTGATGTTTCTAAGTTGGAATATCTCTACAACCTTTACTCAGCATTCTTTTGGTTTTTTTGTTGTCTCTTTTTTTTATACACCACAAATAATGCAAAACGAAATTTCAAATAAAATAATTTTGAGTCTTTCTAATTTGATATCACTTTTGTTGTGTTGTGAAGTTCAATTGATTTCCGTTTCAGTGTACCTATTTTGCCTACTAATTCTGTTAACATTGATTACAGTTATTTCAAATAGACAAAACAAAAAACAGCTTTTGATGTTAGACATATATTGGACACAGCTGCTGCTTTTTTACCACTATGTTAGCCAAACAAAAAGAAAAAAAAAGGTGTAAGAAAAAAGCTGAAAGAAACTGGTTAAACTGGTTCTATGCTAGTTGATGAACTTGATGCAGAGGTAACTGGGAAGACATTTGCTAAGTGCCCAATGTAGATCGTGTACTGAAGTGTAGTTATTATGTACGACGAGTTTAAAGTTTATTGGGTACACAAAAATGAGAAAAAACTTGTCCAAAATAATTTCATTAATAACCGTTTTGTTTATAAATTCATTTATCCATTTATTTATTTATCCATTCCAAGGTTTCTCCAAACATTGTTCCAGATGTTCAGCTAAATCTAGATAGTCAAAAAATAAAATGTTAGCCACTTTTATCCTTTTGTACATAAAAGTTATTAAATATATTGGCAATAAACATTTGTCCATTATGCTGATTTTACAACAAAAAAAAGAAAAAAAAGAAAAATTCAATTCAGTATAAAATGAACCGTAAACAACGGCCTGTTTATAACTAAATAAAAAAAAGCCGACAAAATCTTCAATTTTTGCTTTTACCGTGAAAACATTACGACAAAACAAACGGTTTACTAATAATAGAAAGCAACAAAATCGTTTACTATGCATCAGAGTCATCCAAAAATACTTTTCCAATACGTAAAATATTGGGTAAAAATGTTTTAGTCAACTGGAACTGCATTTTCCGTCTCCCTTCGTTACCATTCCGTCGTTGGATACTGGGACAGTTATGTTCAATGGTAACATATGGATCTGGAGCATTGAAGGGACCAAAATCTGAGCCACAACCGCTAAGCACAAATGCGCCATTATTAGCAGACCAGGTTCGTCCCATCTGATCATCAGTATCGAATGGAAGAGCTGTAACAGAATAGCAGAAGATCCATGTAACTTGAAATATCTGTCTAAAAATATCATTGAAAAAACTGTCTTAGTGAATACTTTTTTGGGCTGAAGGTGCATTGAGACCAACTAAAGTGAAAT